GCTGGACGTGGGCCACTCCCGTTGACCCAGGGGGCTTGCCTTAATCGTTACAATTGGCATTGGCTGGCGGATTGTTGATTACACTGATACCCGTCGCTGATCTGCGTATTTTACATATGGTATAAAGTAGATGATTCTACCACCATCTGTCGGACGTCCTATATTTTTTCTGGCATTGTAATCGTATAATAGTCGCCTCTTACGGCACCCTCGGGTCGAAATGGGGGATGAATTCCCTTTCGCCATATGACAAAGAAGCATCCAGTCAACCTGATGGTAAGTGGATGCTGTGACTCATATGCACCTACAATAAATCTCCCCTTAGATTGCCTCATAGGGGGGATATTTGCCATAGTTGCCACGCTTGGCAAGCGGTTGCCACCGCAGTTTATTTTTAGTCGTTATTGGAAAGACGCTGCTGTCGATGTCCTGATTTGTTTCTCCCTAAGCACATACAAATACCTTTAATTAAAAATTGAAATGCAGATGCGTTGTCACCAGAATATACCTAAGATGAAATGTCTCATTTCCAGTAATAAAGGTCTCCGGTCCCCGATGTTTTTAGTGTAAATAATATTATAGTGTAATCAATAAATGTCAGTAACCTCACTACTTCTTGTTCAAGCCAACGTAATGAAGGCATGATCAAAATCTACTTATAAATATCTGAAAGCTTTATAATGATTAGTATCGGTTGAAGTACGCTTGTACCTAATTATCTCACAGCTACAGAATACTACGATATTTGTGATAATGGAGAAGTTGCATCATTTTTGTGCCACACATTTATATATAATATTAATTTTTATTAACAATTCCATTTTTTTAGTAGTTATCAATAAAAAAATAGTAAAATTTTTGAATGACGAAAAAAAAACGATGATTGGTTGTGACGTCAATATCTGTTGAAGTTATGAGCCAAGCGCAATCAAGCTTTACTTCTGTATTTTCTATATTCGGATCAACATGCGTAATTACTATTGTATTATGTAATGACAATTCTTTTAATTTTGACATATACGTGAGTGTTTTATCATTTCACCATGGCGTTACTAGAGCGATATAATGACGTCACTGGCGTTTGAATTTACATTATAGAAAAACCATTTTTAATTGTAAAACTACATGAAAAACCAATTGTTAATTTTTAAAAAAATATTTAAAACATGCAACTTCCCTATTATCTGTGAGTCGTTTGGTTCTCAGAGATACAGGAGTTTTGGCGGTAACTTGGTCGAGGACGGACTGTCGCTCCTGTTTTGTCGCTTGAATAATGGTTTGAAGTGGTAAAAGTTCACAAAATCACATCAGATTTTGTGAATTAAGTGTCTGCGCGTGTGAACTATTAGAGAAAACGACAAAACAAGTGCCTTGATGTCGATATAAACCTCAAGTTAATTTGATCGCTTGGGCGCCTTATGAACTTGAGTGGCTGTCGTCATCAACTGTCCGCTGGGTTGAGCTGTCGTCAAAATATCCCAAAAACTTCGCAATGTGACGAATCAGCATATTGTGAAGAAAAAATATATAAAATGAAGATTAGAAATGATAGGCTCAGAAAGGCTAGTACTCAGAGTTATGGTGGGAACTTGGCCGTCGACGGATTTTTGCTCCTGTTTTGCCGCTTGCTTGCAGGTGCCTAGCTTATAAATAAAATTGTAATCTATTCGTATGTTCAAAATCTTAAATATCAGAAATTTCTTCACCAATTGCTTTGAAATTTTGAAACAACGTTACATTTGAATACGCGCGTGTTTTTATATACTTTTTTTTAAAACTGTAGAGACCCGGCAACATGTGACTGGGTCCATCTTGTAAGTAAATAATATCTAATGAAGTAGTTATCACGACTATGTTGTACTATTATTTATTCTGTGTCACGACACGAATCCTGCATAAATAAATACATAATCTCTCTCTCATTCTCTCTCAAATAACAACAATGTCGGAGACACGTGAGCTTGATTTTTATTGTTGTTGTATTAATTACTCATTATAAGTTATACAGCAAACTTGTTATGTTCGCGTGTTGGTATTACCTATTATTTATAGTGTGGTATTACGAAGGCTATCAAGTGTAACAGAATCTAGGTCTTACATATATGCCCTAGTTTTCCTCAGTTTATGCATACCTGTTTTAATTTTTAATGTTGCATTCTGTAATATTCATGCTAATTCAGATGTGACTTCGATTTATTGCAATTAAGGGGATGCGATTGCAGCGCATGAATTTTAATGTGCTACTAGCGACCCACAACGCCACCTACCGGTCAAATTGTGAATCTAAACCATCCTGCGACCCACTCGAACACACAAAAAAAATTTCATCAAAATTGTTCCAGCCATTTTCGGGACTGCTGGACTTTGCGAGACTGACTACACGGCAATTGAATTATATAATATATAGATATAATAATATGATTATTCCGTTGATATGGTCATTTTCTTGTAACTTAAAAAACTACAGCCTTTTTTGCATAGATGGTTTTGTGATACGATAACTCATCGGGCAATCAATTAATAAAGGATCAAAAGGGCGATGCTTTATCGACGTCATTTTATCTTGGTCGATTTTAGTATGGCATAGTGTAGTTAGTTTTTTTAAGTAGGTTTTTCGAAGTGTTCCTAATTGTTGCCAAAGCTTGTTTGCTAGTTATATTAGTTATAGACGACTTTGTGTTTTTGTTTCTGTCCTTCTCCTAGTTTTGGTTTTATAGGGCGGCTTATCTGTCAGATTATATATATATATATATATATATATATATATATATATATATATATATATATATATATATATATATATATCAGATAAGTGTTTGAGGGAATAGAGAAAGCACAGGTGCATTCTCTATTCCCTCATTCGTCACTCACATAGTCCGATGAGACGGTAATCCGACACGACCGAAGAGAGATCACGCGCTGGACCAATGGCTTTACGTGCTCTCCGAGGCACGGGGGTGAAGCAAGTTCCTGACTCCGGGTTTTTACAGATAAACCCAATAATTGATTATTAGGCCCGACATGTGATTACAAGCCAGGACTGCAAACCAGCAGTCAAGCTTCCACCACAAGACCGACGAGGCAGTCCAGTACGGATTAGTCCCTTCTTACCATCGGTCAAGTGTGATATTCCTCTACAAGATGCAGGAGTGTACAAGCTTGATTGTGAATTTGGTCTCTCATATATAGGGTAAACAAAAACATCAAGTAGAACCATCAATGACGTGAAGCATCAACTTTCCGGGAAGTCTCCGGGAACATCTATTCCTACCAAGGCAATTGAAATAGCATCACATATCATACGTACGTGAGGCTATTGCAGTTAAAACATCCTAATTTCGATAGAGAAGGAGAAGGTCACCTGCTTGGGATCTTGTAATTAATAAAATTAAAACTAAGCCCCAGCATACCACTGCAAGACTTTAAGACACAGTAAGTTCATTCTGCGTAGATCGGACTATAAATAATAACCAAAAAGCTGAAGCTAATCCGAGTTAACATTGATATCGGGACATCAGTCACCTCAGTCCCCCGTGACCATGGGTGCTGGAAAACATCCGAAACGTAGGGAATTTAAAATCAAATAAATTAAACGCGATAAAAACCTGTAAAAGTAGTCTCAATCAATTTAGCTTTATTTTTAAAATCCTTATCTGTTCAATTATAGAAACGCTCTTTCGAACATTGATAAAAATTTAATATAAAAATAGCATGTTGATAACCCACTGAGATAACATACGCAAGCCGAACAAAAAAAAAAAATTAAATCGTGCGTTAACAAGGCAACAATTAAAAATGGCGGACGCTCACTTATTTTTCAGTTTAGAATTATTTTGCATCGATAATTCGCGTTTGTCGATTCTAAGCTAATAATTTCGACTATTTGAAATATTGTTACATGGGGATTTCTATTTTATGTCGCCTCTCCTTTCATATTTTTATCTAGTGTATTTCTATAGGCGTTTAGTGTTGTTGGGGATCCGATGTAGTGAGATCCAGTCTGTGAGACGCGGTCGTAGTAATCATAGTCCTTTTTTTTTTTTTTATTTTTTTCTCCCTTCTCCATTGGTTTCGGGTTTTTGCCGCTTGGTTTCTCTTCCGGGGGGTTTTCATGTTCCTTTTGGGTGTGTTTAGGCGGCGGGAGAGTTCTTTACACATTCTTTGTTTTGTGTAATATTCAATTTAATATTTTAACGGATCATTGCTAAGGAGCTGTTACGTATATCTTTATAGCTTGTTATTAATAGGTGTTTAAAAAACAATTTTGTTGACAAGATGTCGACATTTTTTATAAACACTTTTATGAATGGTCGGTTCCACCCTGGTAGGTCCACGCTTTCACAGAATGCCAGCGTGAAATAGCTGCTTAAAATTGCGACTGTGTTTCCTATGGTGAGTTTAGGGAACGAGAGATTCTTTTTACTAATATCGAAGGCATTCTATCTTAGTTCTTAGGAGGGACAACGCATCTTTATCTAGATTCTTTATTGAAGATACATGAGTGAAAACCATAGCGTCCACTTACGATCAGGAGAACTGTCTGCGTGTTTGTGACGCTTACTTTTGTGAATAAAAAAAACAGCTAAGATTTTTTTTATAGAATAATGGTAAAAAACGAGCACATAGTTCATCTCATGGTAAGTGGATGCTGTGGTGCCCATACATACATCTACATTTATCCTCAATTAAGAATCAAAACGCAGATCCGTTGTCACCCCTGTGGTCTAAGATGGAATGCCTCGTTTCCAGTAAAAAAGGTTCTTCAGATCTCTACACTCATCATACGAAACACGGCAGTATTAAGCTGCTATTCTGTGAGAGCGTGGTCCTTCCCTGGTCGAGCCGGCCCACAGAAAACTAAATAATAATATTTTTTAGATTTCTGTGAGCCGACCCACTCGTGCTACAACCATAATATAGCTGCAGCGTGGTTCTACCACGAATGATTACCGTTATCATGGTGTAATTTTACTTTTTTTAAATGATTCTTTTCTTTCCAGTGACAAAGATGCGACGGTCAACAGTTTGCCTGTTTCTGGCTCTCCAGCTTGTCCACGCTGAGTACCTGTTGCCCGGAGACATCGTCCCGAGGCACTATGATTTACGTTTCGCGTTCGACGTCGATCCGAAAACCAACTACAGCTTCTTCGGCGTTGCTGATATCCTGGTATGTTTGTTCTTTAAATTATTTTTTATGTTTAATCTAAGTGTGTGAATCTTAGAGTATATACATAAGCAAGCTATTATATATACTCTAAGGTGTAAAGTCCTCTTTTTGCTCGACTGTCCCAGATGGTAAGGTTTATCGAGAGTATGTGTATGTATGTTTATTTTTCTAGCACGCGCTGTAACTTAAACGACTTGTTGCATTTTAACATACGAAGTGTCGTTAGATTTTTATTAATTATTTGAGTGAGTAGAATATAAATTATTCTCTGTTCAACGAAATTTTGTGCGTATATGTATTATACTGTAACGCGAATGGAAGAGAATAATTTTTATTCAATATTAGCGATCTGCCTGCCCCGGCTTCTTCTTCGCCTGGGTGACCGGTGGATCTCGACAACAGCGCCACCTACCGGGTACAAATGTTAATCTAAATTCTAAACAATCTAGATAGAAATTCTAAACAATCTAGAGACCGACACAAAAAATCATAAAAATCGGTCATGCCGTTTTTGAATGAATGATTTTTTTGAATTCAATACAGATTATTACACACCTAATACTTATTGCAAGTCATTTTCTTATTTACCACTAGTTCGAAAAATACCTCTGTCCTAGAAAGCACCAGCAACAAACCCAGCGGGATTTATTTAAACATATTTCACTTTACCGTAATTTTGTTTGTATAATTTTTAAATTAATTTTAATAAAACCAGCATGGTGGCGATCACTACCTCATTTATTTATGGGGTTATTTTCATATAATTATGTACATAGTCTTTGATATTATAATAACCCATTTTCTATAATTTTTCTTTAACAAACCTTTTAAACTTGTTTATTGACAAACTTTGATAATTTCCTGGGATTTTGTTGTAAAAGCGTATACATTGCCCCGTAAATGAATTACTATTAATAATTTAATAATTACGTTATGAATTATTCTGTGAAGTTTAGTAACTGGTCTTACAAGCTTATGTTTGTTCCTAATGTTTAAAGTATGAAAATCCTTATTATTATCAAAGCTATTTGTGTTTTATGTACATACATTAAATTTTCATAAATAGTTGCGATGCCAAAGTTAATATGTTTGTTTCTTTATTTTTTTCTAAGGGACTCTTCAAGTTAAGTTATAAATCGGTCGTACGGTGCTCTTTTCAATTTTAGCGAGTCTAACGGACACTATTTCATTTTCAAATATAGACAGAGACATAACACTAATACTTATTGAATCATTTAAGCTTTAACACTGGTTCGGAAAATATCCTTTGTCCTGGGAAAAGAACCAGCAAGAAACCCAGCGAAATTATAATAAATATAATTTATAATGTAATAATGTCCTCCAGACCGAATTTGGGTCACGGCGGCCGGTAAAAATTACACACAGAAATAGAATAATAATAATATATATAATAAGACAATATTATTACGATTTCTGTGTGGTAAAGCCATGCTGCAACAATATGGCATTTCAGCTTTTGCCTCGGAGGAAATGGCACATATGTAGCCTTTGTTTAAACTCCTCTTGTAACTCTTGTTTAAACTTGGTACCTATGGGCTACGGTACGTATTTATCATCAGATGGTCTGTTGTTCATTAATTGAATACTATTAATTTATAATTTTTTCCCAAATTTCGGTCACACGCGATATTAAACTTTAGGAATACAAGATCGGAAGACCAAAATATCTGGACAAAATTTGAAAATGTCAGGATTTTGGGATCGTTGTCGGCAGAAATAAATATTTAAAATAAAATGAAAGTTATAAAGTGTTTTTATTTATTTAATAGGCTACAAGAAGAGGTAACATTACACATATAACTAGAAACAGAAACAGAAACAGAAACTTTTTTATTCAATATAGATTATAAACAATACTTATTGAAAGTCACTTTTTTTTTCATAACCGCTGGTTCGCAAAAAAATCTCTGTCCTGGGAAGAACCAGCGCAAGAAACCCCGCGGGACTATTTTTTAAAAATAAGAGCTTACAATCATGTACAATGCTTACAACAACAATTAACAACACAAAACAAATTAGAAATAACTTGGTAGCGATCACCTTTCCCAGGGGTTATTATCATCCATAAATTCCTTAATATTAAAATAACCCTTTTTATACAAACTTAGTTTATTAAGTTTTTGAACTTTGTGTATGTTAAATTTTGTATATTTTCTGGGATTTTGTTGTAAAAGCGTATACATCGCGCCAGCTTGCGTCTATTCCTAGTATTTACAGAATATAGAGTCAACTAAATTTTTAGGATTGTATTTGGCATTGAGCTTTACTGAGTACACCAACTTCCTTCAGTAGCATTCGGAAAATATTTAAAAGTCAAATAATTTACTTCAAAGTTCAGCAGACAGCATTGAACTATATTACTAAGGTAATAGACAGTAGATAATTAGAATTACTAACTCAGCTTTTAAGCTATTGCATAGCTTTTATCGCGGGCTTTGAGCGCGGCGATCGAATCAAGAAATTCCGTAACGAAAATAAACCTAACACCCCCCACACCGACCGGCACAGCGGTGCAGCGTTGAAAGCCGTGCATCGTCTAACGTCGCTTCAGTTGGGCAGACTTCGGCACGGTGTTTGTGTGCGTGCGACTAGACCCACATTTATTGTCAGATAATAAAAATATTTTAAACAGTATTAACTTCTCATTCATTCAATAAATAATTTGTTTTCTTATCGGTCAACACACTCAAAAAGTGTAACTTCAATTAATATAAAAAAACTTGAATTAATATCAAAGAAAAAAAATACTGCATTAATAAAATAAATTAATAATTATAATTGCATAAGTTGATAAAAAATGCTATGCAATAGCTTTACCGCGGCAACCCTCGAGTGCCACACGTATTTTTATTAAATCAAAGGCAGCTGTGATGTGAAGAGAAGCTATTTGTGTGTAGATTTTGAGTTTTGTCGGGAGCCTGGAGGTCATTTAAAATCTCGGTAGAATCCAGACGAATCCCGACAATCTGGCAATCCTAATTATAGTGCACGAGTGTGGGCGCAAATACAAGTGCACTCTTTATTTCCTGTCATAGTCCGTTGGAATGGAAATCCGACACGGCTGGAGAGATCTCTCGCATTACGGACAGCTTTACGTGTCTTTTGAGGCATAGAGGTGAAACACTGCGCACCTGTGTTTGTGCACACACTGTAATCTTTTCCTGTGCAGATGGCTACTTTCCGTTAAGATAAATTGGAAAAACTGGTTTTTTTCTGATTACGTATCAAAATGCACATGCGTTGTCACCCGTGAGGACTTAGGTGGAATGCCCCGTTTCTAGTAAAAAGGGTCTCCGGTTCTCTACACTCACCACACGAAATACAGCAGTATTAAGCTGCTGTTTTACGCTGGTATTCTGTGAGAGCGTGGCCCTTCCCCACTCGAACCGACCATTTCGTACTACAACTATACTACTAATGCAACTACAGCATGGCTCTACCACGTATAAAAGTTATCATTTTGGTTATTAATTTGGTTATCATTGTAATTGGTACAGGTGTAGTTAAGTGGTCAAGTTATCAACCGTTATCATCACTATAAAATTTTATTTAAAACAACAAGTACATAAATAACGGTGGCAGGCATACAGTCACTGTTTACCTTCTGCGCTTTTTGAATGCGACCCCGCGGTGAAGGCTAAGTTGCGATCAGCACGCTTGTAGAATCAATACATTATGTTATCTGTAATCAATAATTATGGCAAAGACCACTTTGTTTAATTTTTTATTTTTAATTACAATCGTATAATTTGTTTGGTTGCTTGCCCTTCTCACACTTGACGAGCTGTTTGGAATATATCGTTGATGTGGACACCGGATATCCTGTCCGGCGCGATTTATTCTTCGTAAGTTTAACACAAATTTACTTTAATACTAATTGTAAAATAGCAGTAATTGTTTGGTAGGTAGAAAATATGGGACCCCTTTTACTGTAAACGAGGCATTTCATCTAAGTCCTCAGGGGTGGCAACGCATCTGCATTTTGATTTGTAATCGAAGATAGATCAATAGATGTTTATTGGCCACAGCATCCACTTACATTAGGTCTACTGTATGCTCGTTTGTCACCCTTATTCTATAAAAAAAAATCCCAAAGTTTTGGTCCTGACCTTGGGTGCTCAAAAGCATCTCGTAAAATTAGTTTTATTTAACGACAAGAATTCTCGTGCCACCGTGACGTCATCAGCGATCGTCATCATGAAATCAAGTCAAACGTTAAAGCGTACTAACTATACTCACAGACACAATTAACCGCCCACCATATATAAACACTCACGCCCGTCACCCATAGGGGTAGGCAGAGACTACAGACTTCCATTTAGCACGATCCTGACACACCTCTTTCACCTCTTCCACATTCATATACCTACTCATACATGCTCGTCGGTTAAGGGTACTCTTAATTTGGCCCATTTTTAGTATATCGCCAATTTGGTCGACAAACTTCCGCCTAGGATATCCCTTTCCGAATCTTCCATTCACTTCTGCAACATCTATTTGCTTTGTCAGTCTTTCCGCATTCATTCTTTCTACATGACCAAACCACCGAAGCATTCCTTTCTTAATCCTGGTCACCGCATCATCTTGCAAACCACACTCTTCTTTTATCACACAGTTTCTCACCCTGTCACTCAGATTCAGCCCTAACATACTCCTTAGCGACCGCATTTCTACTACATTTATTCTACTCTCGTGCTTCTTCTGCCACACCCAACTTTCACTACTATATGTTAAAGTAGGGACTAATGTACAGCATTGTGAAAAATTGATGAAAATGAACTTTATTTTTGGATTTGTGTTTTAGGGGTACATAAAAAAAACAATAAATGATAAATTGTATGTAATGAAAATGTTTAGAAAATTTATGAACATGTGAATAAACGGAAATTAAGGCCCCCAACACACTACATACGGAATCCCATTTTTACCGCAAAATTCCGTACGAAAGACTACCGTGGGTGTATGACGGGTCATTGATT